TGTGTGTGTGTGTGTGTGTGTGTGTGTGTGTGTGTGTGTGTGTGTGTCTGTCTGTCAAGAATAAATAAACATTAAAAAAAAAAAACCCAGATGATTAGTTCTATCATAATTTCACTGCTCTATGTATGAACATAGCTAAATATCATCAAGTTACTACCTTACATTAACTAATCCATGTTTTCATAAAATTATATTAATAGTCTGTGCTATTTTACAGGATAAGCCACATCAAAGACTTCATTGAAAAATACCAAGGATCTCAGAGAAGCCCTCCCTTTTCCCTGGCCACAGCTCTTCCTTCCCTCAGATTGCTAGATGAAACACTCACACTGGAAGAAGCAGATTTACAGAATGCTGTAATCATTCAGAGACTCCAAAAAACCGCTGAACCTTTTAGAGAACTTTCATAACATTGACTTTTGATACACTAAGTGGAAAGTTTGCAGAGAAATGATGGTTGTAAATGAACACTCAAACCAAAATGAGGGAAAGTAGATCTGATTTGCTAGACTTTTGGTCAGAGCACTATTTAACTCCCTCCTGATGAGAAGATTTTAAATAAGTACAAGTTAGGAATGTAAACTATGACTGGAAACTGTATTCAATGCACTTTTTCCAAAAGGCTACTCAGAAAACACTTATTTTCAAATACCAGTTATTCAACAATAAGATATATTAAATCACTATATCCTATAGAATCTAAATATGATATAAATTAGCAAATGTATTCACACATCATTCATTCAGATGGTCCCAACCAGCAGTGATTTGTTTCAATGTCAGCTATCTCAGATTTTTTAAATAGCAATCCATTAAGAAATTTGTACATGCAAATTCAAAGCACCAATGTAATTATTTTATACCTGGGATACAGTCAGAAGGCTAGAAAGGACTAGTTTCACCACAAGTATGCCTGAACCTCAAAGTGTTCTCAGTTTTTATTCTCTAATGGCAAGATATACTCAACTATTAATTTGGCACAGTATCTAAAATATATTTTTATTTAAGAGTAAAATTGAGCAGTGTAGTATAATGTCAATACTAATCTGCCTATTCACATTTCTATACTTTCAAGAAGTGTAATCTTTAAAAAATTTCTATCCAGGAATCCAACTTAATCCCTTATTTTATTTTCTTTTGAAAATTAGGGTTTTGTTCTTAGCTAACATTTTGAGTAAACCTTCATTTGCTACCACTCATGTAGAATCTGTTCTAACGCCTGTGTTGGCACATTGCTAATATTTTTTAAATGCATCACACGAACTACGGTTTCCTATTCCATATATCAGAGTCAACCTGTGTGTATACGTTAAAGGAATTATTTATTTACGTTCTGATGCCACCAAGGGAAACATGTTTATTTTAAAGTTCTAACTAAAACTGGTTAGACTTGAATATTTCATTGTCAGATTGAATTCCCTTGCCTGAACATAAGTTTAAGAAGCTTATTTTGCAAATTCTCTATTTGAATCTTATTTAAAGTGAAATGTACATTCAATGTGCCAAGAAACTAAGTAGCCATACCTGTCAGCAGTAATGTCCATAGGGCAGTAGTGGGTATCTGCCGGAAAGAACAGTTCTCAAACTTTTTGGTCTCAAGACCTTTTGTTTATGTGTGTTATATATATAACATTGAAAATAAAAAGTTAAAAGATATTTATTCAATAAAATAATAAGCACATGTTAGTATAAATCACATTTTAATGAAAAATGCATTTTCTAAAAATTTCGTGAAAAAAGTGGCATTGTGTTCCATTTTTTGCAACTGTCTTTACGGTCTGAGTTAAAGAAGACAGATGGAACCTCACGTCTGCTTCCACATTCAATCTGTTGTGATATTGCACACCATGTAGCTGCTAGTAAACGCAACTTGTATGTTCATGAGAAAATGAAAAAAAAAAGCAAATAATGTCTTAGTTTGGTTATGAAAATAGTTTTAACTTTGCGGACCTCTTGAAAGAACCATTCTTACAAAGCAGTGGTTCACAGTAATTCTCAAACCTTCATGTAAGAATCACTTTGGAAAGCATTTCAAAATGTCTATTCCAGGCACCTACCAGACACATTCTGATTTCTTGTGTCTGGGATGGGTCCCAGATCTCTGCAGGTTTAATTTCATCTGATTCTTAGGTACACAGGAGAAGTACCCGTGTTCAGGAAATCCAACACTATGCTTCCACCCTAAGAAAGAAAACCTGCCTGCTTCATTCACTGTGAACAGTGGAAGACTCCACTGAAATGGGACTTCTAGACCTTTAAGTTGTGTCCTTATCTCACACAGTTGGTCCTTAGACTGTTCCCCTCTCACTCTTAACTAATCATGATAGAAACTTATACTTCATCTTCTCTAAGCAGAGCTGAGATGAGGGTGGAACATTAAGTGAGATTTTTAATAGAAGCTCAGGAATAACAAAAGGGAAATATACACATAACTAGGTGACCTGGTTTATAAGGTATGCCTTCTGTTTGAGGTCCATAGTAAGAGTGCTTGCTTTTCTGGCTCCCAGCCTTACAAATAAATGGTAGAGGCCTGTCCTTTTATTAGGAAGAGAGAGAGAGAGCAAAGGAGAGCCTTTTGCTTTTGCCATTTACTCTCAGAAATGAACAGATATATAATAGAAAATACTGTCAGTGATGTTTACAGCTCTGTTAGAGCTCTCTCTCTCTCTCTTTAGTGAAACAAAAATAGTGGCGTTTTGACAAAAAATGAAAGGATGGTAAAAATCAGCGAACTGTTTCAAATATAAAATGATTGTTAGTGTATTTTTCAGCCTCTAAGAAAATGTTCCCCTAGACCTATCATGAAGCATTTTATAATTTGATATGCATAATTCTAGTCAATATGCGATTGTGCATTTTTTTCTTTACTATAAAGGGGCTTCTTGTTGGAAATATTTTTCTTGTACCTATAGAAAAGCCTCCTTTGGGGGCGCCTGGGTGGCGCAGTCGGTTAAGCGTCCGACTTCAGCCAGGTCACGATCTCGCGGTCCGTGATTTCGAGCCCCGCGTCAGGCTCTGGGCTGATGGCTCAGAGCCTGGAGCCTGTTTCCGATTCTGTGTCTCCCTCTCTCTCTGCCCCTCCCCCGTTCATGCTCTGTCTCTCTCTGTCCCAAAAATAAATAAACGTTGAAAAAAAAAATTTAAAAAAAAAAAAAAAAGAAAAGCCTCCTTTGTGGATTTTCCAGTTTATAATTATTTATCCACAAGATACATAGGGGGCTTTCTTGTGTGTACATGTAGAATACACCCCAGTGACAAGTTCCTACAAAGACCCATCATCAGCAGTAACCTTGATTTTTTTAACTGTGAAAACTTTCATTAATGTGAATAATATTCTCAGAGGTTTTCTAAAATGAGAATCCTCTGATAAAGCTGTCTACCTTAAAGTTTAAAATTGTAAAGTTGTTAATTAAATATGTAGAATACACAAAACATACTTTAGAAAACATAGACTGAATTTGGTTTGGCAAGGGAAGGCAGACTTGAAAATCATCAAACACTTTGGGTGTAGGACACAATTTGACCTGTGTAGTTGTTTCAGAACTCGTCAATCAGTTTCTTGAGAATCATTGTTAAGGCTGATACATAGAAGTACATTTCTAGTTTTACGGATTCTGATTTAATGGTTAAATTACTGTGCGTTATGCAGGCTACAAAACTGGTCTTATTTATTTTATATACTTTTCTCATTCAGAGTACTTTTTTCATTGTGTTTGTGTTAAAATATAGTATGTTTGCATCTATTTCAGTGCCTTATTTTAAAAGCAATCTTTTGCTAATGGTTAAAGAACTGTTGTCTTTAGAATGAAATAATTCATTAAAAGGATCTGTGAAATCTACATTTGTCTCATAAAATAGTTACATCTGGATGCATTTGTTATTTTTATGTGGCAAAGACCTTCAGTTTGAGAATCAATGTTTATTAGGTGCCTTCTGTTTGTCAGGTACTTTAATCAGTGTTACTTTCATTCAATACTCAAAAGTGTTAAGATATGGTAGTTTTAATACTCAGAGGTAGGTGTTTTAAAAACCATTTGTGTCCTGAGTTGAACTAGCATGAAAACTCCTTGGTAGAGTTTACTTCTTTGTTCTTTCTCTAAGTACAAACCATTTAATTAAGAAATTGCTCATCACACTAAATCTTCAAATAGAAGTGGCTAATTGAGTAGACTAATATGTGGCTCTTTGTCATTTGTTTTAAATATTTTTTCACAGGTAATTCATACTCATTGTGGAAAATTAGAAAATGCAGATATGCTGAAATGATCTTTAAATCACCTATTTCACCTTTCAAACATAACCTCTAATAACATTTTGGTGTTCATCCTTTCAGATATTTTTAAGTAACTCAGTGTTTAGTTTTATTTAATTAAAAGGCAGGCTTCTTGGTTATTGTAATCCTGCTGTTTTATCTCTTGAAGTCTAACATATTTGTCTTTAAAAATTTATATTAGGAACATCATTTTAGGAACAATAGCTGTTAGGGACAAATGCCTTGTATTTTAATTATATTTCTGGGTTAAAAAAAAAAGATGCAGGGCTTTTTTTTTTTTTTTTTAACTTTTCTCTCAAAATTAAAACTGTGGTAGTATGTGCTGCAGAGTACAAATATTGGGAATGAAGTGTTCCCAGGCCTAAAAACGCAAATAAAATGATGTATGTAAAGGTAGATTATTCAAAGAAATTTCAGCTTGAGTTTTAGTTTCCAAAGAATTAAATATTTAGCACATGTATCATCTAATTGTCCTTCCACTGTTGATAAGGCTGCAATCAAGGAAACAGAGGTACCCATTTTGTAGGTTAAAGAATTGAGGCATATTTTGCAGTATAAGGAAATACTCACTACTTTGTACACCTGAAACTAGTATACTGTTCTATGTCAGTTATACCTCAAAAAGAATTGAGGCATTGGAAATGGAATGGCTTGCTTTAGACCGGATGGTGCATACTTTAGGATTGTATTTAGCCATGACAGAAAATCTAAACTCATAGTAGCTTGCAAAATAAAATGTTACTTATTTCCATGCAAAATTTGGATAGAAGCAATTCAGGGCTGGTAGAACCATTTCATGAAAGGTCAGACTCGTGTTGACCTCCATGTCTCAAGATGACTGTCCTAGCACCAGTCACCACATTTGCATTTCATCCAGTGGGAAGAAGCACACACCTTTCCCTTTAAAAACAAAAGCAAAACAAACAAACAATACATTTATTGGGACGTAATCTACCTTACTGTTAACCCAATTAAATTGTACAATTTGGTGGCTTTTAGTATAGCCACAGGATCGCCACAATCTGATTTTAGAGTGTTTTCATTCTGTCTAGTGTTTTAATTCTAGAAGAAACCCTGTACTCCCTACCCTCGGTTCTACACTCTGTTGATGTACCTGTTGTGGACATTTTGTATACATGGAATCATACAGTATATGGTTTTCGTATCTTTTCACTTAATGTTTCCAAGGTTCATCCATGTCCTTTTTATTGTGGAGTAATAAATAGTCCACTGTATGGATACACCTACCACATTTTATTTATCCATCAGTTAAGGGACATTTGGGTTTTCACTTTTTGGTTATTTTAAATCTTGATATGAATATTTGTGTTCAAATTTTTGTGTGAGCATGTTTTTTTCTAGGGTATATACTCGGGAAGAATTGCTGGGGCATGTGCTAATTCCATATTTAACTTTTTGAAGAATTGCCAACATTTTCTATAGCACCTGCACCAGTTTACATGCCCACAAGCAATGTGTGATTTCTCCATGTCCTCCCCAGTGCTTGTTATTGTTGGTCTTTTTATTCCTAGCCATCCAGTGCTGTGGGGTCTTGGAGTTTGGGTTTTCCCTAATGACATAAGCATCTTTTCATGTGCTTATTTTTTGTCTATTGAAAAGTACCTCTTGAAACCTTTTGCCCATTTGTAAGTGTTTTATTGTTAAGTTGTAAGTGTTCTTTATATATTCCAGTACCAGCCCTTATGATTTGGGGATATTTCTCCCATTCAGTGGGTTGTCTTTTCACTTCGTTGGATTGTTTGCAGCACAGTTGCTCATCTAGATATGGTCCAGCTTGTGGTGTCCTAAGAAACAGCTGTCCAACCCAAGGTTGTGTAGATTTGCTCCTGTTTTCTTCGAGGTGGTGTATACTTTTAGCCTTTACACTTGCGTCCGTGGTGCATTTTTACTGACTTCACACACTGAAGTCAGTGTGTGATGTGACCCCTTCTCTCGTAAGGACTTTTCTGGAACGCTGCTCTCCGGCCATCCACCGGCCAGAACTTAGCTACATGGCTATACTATCCCATCTGTGTGAGGCTGGACAGCGTGTGTTTCAGGCATCTTGTACTCAACTTGACCGGTTGGAAGCCTCTCGGCCACAATCTTAGTCTAAACAAGTCCATTCTATAGCTTCGTTTTCCAAATAAATTGATCTGGCGACTTTCACCGCCAGGATTTAGCAGGGGTGTAGCGCGAACCGCCGCTGGCTGTCCGTCTCTCTCTCTCTCTCTCTCTCTCTCTC